CTATAAGTCGAAAGGAGACTGCGACCATACCCGAGGCCACAACATCTTGGTCTTCACATCTTAAATTTAAGCATTTTCGTATACTGGACTGTTTCATATTAAAAAAATATTTTGCTTCATGAATAATAAAATACTTAATTCAGATAGTAGTAATAATATCAAAGAGGATTTATCAATTGTGGTATGAAATAGGGTTTGACTTGCTTTATTGATAAACTGAAATAAAAAACATGACACTTATACAAATATAATTTTTTGAAATAAACCTAAACTTTTTGATATCGCAAGTAAATTAATCAGATAAAATATATGAGATATGTTCACCTTAGTTCGTTTAAATTGATGAAGGACTAGTAGTTGAATTTTTTTCATAATCATGTGAGTAGACCTTACATTTCTATTGAATTTCACAGCCTTGCTTTAGCAAAGAGTATTCTTATCCACGGCAGACCGGCGTTTTGATCTCGCCTAGGTCTTATTAAGGCCCCCAGCGAGACTCAAACATGACAGTGCAATGTATGATATCAACACGCTAACCACTACACCAGGAAGGCCAGAAATTTTCATATATGTGGTAGGATTTCTAATGAAGCAAACTTATATTTGCTATAGCAGTCGACGACATCACTTATTTTTCATTTGCAAGTAGGCTTTCGAGACTGTACAGCAGTCAGCCCAAGATAAGAATAACTTTTCGGAAGCAAAGATATGTAAAATTCAATGAAAACGTAAGGCCCACTCCTATCATAGTGTGAAAATTTAACTACCAGTCCTTTATCGCCTAAAACGAAACATGGTGAATAGGTCTCGTCTGATTTACTGGTAGCCTCGAAAGCCTACATACAAACGAAAAATAAGCAAATTAGGTCCATACAGATACATTTTCTGTCAAAAGCCATCGAATATTCATGAGAAAAATGTTGATAACGAGGCAATATTTACAAGTGTTTAGTTTAAAGATGATGAAAAGAAGAAGGAGTTTAAATTTCCTATATCTTGTGGACACGAAGTAAATCGTGAACTTAAGCATTCAAGGTATATTTAAATTATCTTGTTTTCGAAGGATAATTAAGAGTTTATATCAATGTATATATACAGATTGAAAGACCCTCATTACATAAATAAAACTCACTTCATTATCTCTGTATATATAGCTGGAAATTCGCATCTTGGGCACACAGTGAAGTCACTTTTGATGACATGTTTTCCCTTAAAAAAGTGAAAAATATAGACATCGTTTGACTCTTGATTCCAAAAAGTACATTCATATTATTTAAGGTGAAAAATTGTCCATAGGTTTGTAATCCCATATAAGTATACCTGTGACAAATTTGGCTGATAGATCCCATCTTAGTGTGAAAGATCTGACCAACATCCTGATTACGTTCAGATTTACTATGTATCTTCAAATCATTTGAGGTGGGGTTTATATGATCACATCCTCCATAGTTTAGTCCAGTGATTCCCAAACTGTGCGTCGCGGTGCCACGGGAAGCCGCGAAATATTGTAAAAGCTTCAATTCGCGAAAATGTGCAGTGATTTGCAGGCCCTTCTATCACATCAATTATTACATATTAATTAAATGTTAGTAAAGTAAAAAATAATGAATAGACACGAATTTTATTTATTTTCATCTCTTACTTATGAATAGTCATACTTAGGGTAGGGCACCATGGAAAAATTTTAATTGAAAAAGAGTGCCGCGACTAGGAAAAGTTTGGGAACCACTGGTTTAGTCCATTTAAATGCTTACTACCTTGCATAAAAAAATAGCCCATATAACCATACTGTAGACACAAGTGCTGATACTAAAGCGATAAACATATCTCTCCGATGAGCAAAAATATGTAATTTTGCACACGAATTATATGAAAAAGTGGATTTTGATGAATATCTTGAGTTATCATTGTTTTGGAAACTTTATTTCGTATGAAAGTCCATAAGGGCGCGATGCTTCATGACTTCTTCAACTTGAATGTCGTATTAAAGCCAAACGCAAATCAGCCCGTGTCGTCTGGTGAGATCGACCTGCGAATCTCTTAATCATTAACTTTCATTAGATATGCAGGTCCCATAGCACTTTTAAAATGGAAATCTGAGTGAAATTTAATGGCTTCCACTCATTTTAAATTGGGAAATTTAACTATCAGTTCTTAAATCACCCTAAACCGCCTAGGATGACTATTGAAATGTATTATAAGACTCGCTTATTGTTGAAGTATTAACAAATTATGCTTCAAGGTTACACAAATTTACTAAAAGTCATTTGCTCATTCTGTGAGGGGCATTTTCGGGATCAAATTCTAGGTACCGAAATTAAGGTTTTATAAATCAGGAACCTTCTGAAATACATAATCATTCATAAATGCTTACAGCGATGTAAAAATTGTGATTAATTGGAATAAACTCCATTTTACAACTAATCAAACTTGCTGTGATAATGCAGTAAGGCAAATTGCTGCAGCATTCCCTGCAGTAGATTTCATACTCTGGCAAAGTAGCCGAGCAGAAGGGGCATGGCGTTAGCAGCTCCGTGCTTTCATTATCATGGGCGAACGCAAGAACACCACCCTCTTTGTTAGTATCGCCAAACACCTCTTCATCTTGCCGCCCGTCCATGCCACTAACCTCGGAGCTCTGGCCTGAGGCGACTAGCCTCAGGGCGGTGCGGTCAGCACGGCGAATGAGTGTCTCAAACTTACGACGATACTTAGGATCTACTTTGTCTCTATATTCCGGTCGGAGTAGGGTTGCGGCATAAGTGAATCCGGCGGCGCGAAGCCCTGCATGTTGGCACTCAATCACAGTGCTAGTGAGGATAGGCACAATATCTGAAGGAAATATAGCCGATACAAAATGTGAATAGAAGCTGGAGAATAGAATGCGCTAAAGCTTGTTAAATAAAATTTTATGGTAGCATACTTACATTTTGAATAGGAAAAATTATCAGGAATATTATTGCGGAATTGTTAGCAATCGTATAACATTTACATTAAAGTATGTACGATCAATTCAATATCGGTTTGCCTTATAAAAGTCACACTAAGGTACTGTAGTGCTCATTTCGAGACAATAGTAGGTTAGATATTCTCACTTTATTTCATCATACCTAATAGGTTAAAAAGACTTAATATCTTAATAAAGGAATATGGTGTTCATATAGCCTTCGGAAATGCTAATGCCTTTAAAAGTAGAATCTAAACAATACGGAGAAATATGCGAAGTTAGCCGAGACAGTAAAAAAAAACAAAATAATTAACCTGCAGAC